AGTTGAATACCAACTTGGTCTATTTTGCTTATTTTGGCTTTAATACCATAAAAATTTTGAAGAAAATAAACTTATAATTTATTTCTTATAAATATATATAGAATAATTATCTTTATTTTAAAAAAATTCTAATTACATGATATATTTTTACTATTAGAACTCTAACTATATTTACTTAACATAAAATTCTTATCAACAGAGTGTTACCTTAATGTGGGTTCAAGCAACCTGATATTTTATGAATCTGCTTGTTTACACTAATCTCCATGTTAGCAAGTACTGAACACATTCAGAGCAGGATTCTTGTAATCCTTATTGGTTGGAGTGGGAGGGCATAGGCTCAATTTTTTATGATATGTTTCGTTTGGTTTTGTTAGAAGTAAAATACATTTAATAGGAATCAATTTGTAGCTACTTTCTTTGCATTTTGGAGACAATTTCTCACTTGCTTCAAAGATCTATTCCTCAATTGCATGACTAATTGGGCAAGCCACCTAGATCTTTGCCATGCATGTATCTACGACCTTCAGGATCTACAATTGAGGTCTGTAAATTTGCTGCAGTTTGCAGATGACAGATCTCAAAACTGTGAAGTGCCAAATTGTTACGTGCAAACTTTTATTTTTCTCGTGGATGTGATTTTCTTTTGAAATTATTTAGCATTATTAAATATTACTAAATAATTTAGTAACAAAATTTAATCAAATTCAAGTTGGGATTGTAGATACGAACATCTCTTCAGGTTTGGCATTGCAACGGGAGGGTAACTCGGTAAGGCTATTTGGTGTCTTGGTTTCAGCTTCTCTTTCCTATTTAATTTGTTACATAGTCATCAATGACTTACCATTTCTACTTATTCCAGGTAGATGTTAAAAAACAGAGAACTGCATTTCCTCCAAATTTTGTGCACTCACTTGATGGTTCACACATGATGATGACAGCTATTGCCTGCAGAGAGGCTGGTTTACATTTTGCAGGTCTGTCTTGTAGACTTTTAGTAGCGAAGCAGCATAATTTTTAAGGTCTCATTTTATTTCAAGAAAAAAATTTTAAGGTCCTATTGAATTGTAGAAAACTGTTTTTACTTCATTATTTATTAACTTTATGTGTTTGCTACATATATCTATGTAATTGTTAAAAATGAAAATATTATTTGAAAAATAATAGTAAAAATATAGCACGAGTTTTAAAACAAATATTTTTTCTTTTCAACCTCATGCCAAATTTTCACTACATTTGTAAAACTTGTTTTAATCTGTAACAACTATATATATATATATATATTTGTGTACCATCACATATGAACTTAAGAAATAAAACTCAGAACATTCTATACGGTTAAATATATTTTCTTTGGAGCTCTCATCTAAGACTTAATAAGAGGAGTAAAAACTCTTATTTCTTATGTTTTATTTGCGGAGATAACAAACAAATTTATTTTGTATAAAAGAAAAATTCAAAATCTTAGGTTTCGAAGAAAACCATGAAGTCCTTTTTATCT